AAAGTACTATTGTAGATTTCAGAATACAACAAATTAATAGCGTCGCTAGTAAGCAGTAAAATGCATGAACGAAAAAGCAGAAGTTTTTGAAATTCCATATGAAAGAAAACCCCTATTTGCGCAATGCATTCGTTATGGGGACGGGTAGCAAGAAGTTTTATATTTTCAGCTTTATGAGAAATACCGTGGACAGGGCCACATAATGTTCTACAATTTGAATGAAATATTCGATAGCATGCCATTAGTCGCTATATTATCTGGTTAGCTCTTTTGCAAATTTGAAAGAACACTTCTCGTTTCGCAATGGTTTTTTTTTTGCTGAATAAATCAGTTGCCTGATTTGAAACTGCTAGTCATTCTGGTACCGAAGAATTATATGCAAAAATATTAGCGAAACTTTCAGTAGCTGAGCTCTTATGAAGAAATTTGGTGCCTCGATAATAAAATTCCTTGGATTCAGTTTTCTGTATTCCCAACAAAGATGATACTGAATCGTTTTTTCTAACATCTCTTGAACTAATTCCGCATCTGAATTCAATGCTTTTTGGTCAGTTTGTCGCCCGATATAAGGCTTTTTATTCGGGACTGGTATCCTCATTCAAATTTTCTCCACATTTACGATACCATAATTTTCTCTATTCCAGGCGCTTTCCATTACCCTATGTACAGCAGAGCTTAGAGAATAGAGCAGTTACAACCAGATCAAAATTTCAAACAGTTTTAATTCCTACGTTGCAGATCAAATTTACTGCTGCCACGGCGGTATTTCTCAGTTCGCGCAGTACCGAAGCGATATCGCTAACATACCAAGAAAATCAGTGTGGGCAAGCGATATTCAGGGATACAAGATGAAAAGCATTTTCACAGATACAATTTGGGCTGAGCCACATTTCAAACAAACGTTCGCCTAACGCATTACTAAAACGTTTCAAAGTCGAGAAAATTCTCTTTTTCGCAAAAACTATAAGAAATTTTTTGCAACAATTCAGGTTGTTGTACTCGCCATCGGACCGTTACTACTCGTATTATTTCAACAAAAGTGCTCTGGAAGTGAAACTGCGCCAGTTCAAATGTCGAGCACTCGTTTGCGGCGTCTCATCCAACCCAAATAACCTTTCTTTGCAAACTGATAAAAATGAGGTATCCACAGTTCAAACTGAGCTGGATTCTTGTCAAAATCTGAAATTAAGCAGAAGAAAAAGAACACAGTGATCCGTTTTTGCACTTCTTGAACCAATCAGACACAAAACACTACGGCCAGATCATTTATGTGCCTATGTATGTATTTGTGTGCATGTGTTTGTCGGAGGCTGTGCGTGGTCGCACCATTTAACCTCCAGTCCATGAAAGTTAAAAAACTGAAATTTCAGGACATAACTTGTCACTCTGTGCAGAATCAGCCTGCATCTCCGTCGTTGTTCTGCCCCCTTCTCTTAGACTTGCAGCTGAATTAATTTATAATTTGACTGCAAATACGAACTTCTCGAAGCCCAGTTCCTCACATAATTTCCTACAAATCAGCCTTCAAAATTTTTTTTAATCCAAATCTGTGGTATCAACGCCAATTCAGACTAATACCAGAGCTTCAGTGTGGGGAGGTGGGGGGGGGGAGGGTCGCGAAGGCGAGGCAGGGAGGGGGGAAGGGTTTCCATTTAAAATTTTGAGTATACAGTTAGCGATCAAAGAGGCAAAATTGCCTGCAAATTAACTTTCAAAATTCCATAATTTCATAATTCTAAAGTTAAAACTCGAAGCTATTGATTTATTCCGCTGGGAATTATATGGCCTGAATTTATCCTTCCTATGTACTGATCTGTAACCACGTACTCAAATAGCCCATTATGCTTTGATTTCCATTCACAGAACTGAAAACGCATAGCTGATGGATCCGTGCGCTTACCTCCCTTTTTTGTAGTGCTTCTGATGCGACTGTTCTTAAACACTCATGTCAGAGTTTCCGAGCTGTTTCATCCAACGAATTAGAACCGTTAGGCAAAATCACATATAATCAGCTTGCATACAAATATAAAAAATGCAAAAACGAATAAAAATTTTGGCAAGAATAAATTTGATAATTTCAAGTTCTTGTATTTTCGAAAAAGTGCTGTTTTACAGGGAAGTGGCTGTGAGGAGCTGTTCGGCGGTCTATGTTACGCTATTTATTCATCGCATATGGACCGGCAACGCAGTTTTGAAGCAGCCGTATTACTTTTTAAATTCAATCCGTCAACTTCGCTGCTGGGCGCTGAAGTACGCTATCACAGTGTAAGCAAGCTGCAGTTCAGCGCAGCTCTGAAAACTCTCAAGACTGAATTCATTAGCAGCAAGTGAGCCTATTATAACTTTGGGCGCGTTAGTTTTAATAATTGTTGTACATAAACTAGAAGTGTTCTCAGGATTCATGAAAATGCTCACGAAGTTCAGAACCGAGGTTCAGACAAAAGCAGCAGATCCAGAATTTATTTTTTCACGCAGCGTTTTATAGAGAAACCTGTTTGCCAGAAGTTCGCACGAATTATGTTGGCTGCCAAAGTTGCGCTGACTGGAGACGAGGCATTGATTCAAAAAGCTTGCAGTCAAATCGATGTTTATCTCATCCGGAAATGCTCAGGATCATGATGGTCTTCACTTTTTTCAAGAATATCTATGCGCTGGCATAAATTTAGAAGAAAGCAATACATCTTTACAGGGCTACACTTGAGCATTTGCATTATATTTGTCTCACATATACACGTATATGCATATATATATATATATATATATATATATACATATATATATATATATATATATTTGTGTATGTGTGTATGAGTGTGTGAGCCGGTGAAATCTCAGCTTCCTGGTTTAAAAAATTTTTTTCAAATTTCAGTTTTTCGGTCTAAAATTTTATCTTCCCAGCTTTCTCAGTTGCTGGATTAAAAGCAGATGATAGAGTTCATGCACCGTCGAAAGCCTA